AAAATTATTTGCGACACGTTTAAAAAAGCGGTCTAGTGTCAGTTGTTTTGGACAGACTGGAGACTGGCCAAAATTATGTAACCTGCTGCGCACGCAGAGAGATGAGAATCTCATTCTAACATGTGGGCAAACTGGGCTTTATAGCCGGCGACTGAGCTTCGTAAAATTCCGTCCCAAGCTAATTTGGGCTTAATACGCGGCGGCGGATTTTGCTATGCAAAATTCCGTCCCAAGCTGATTTGGGCTTAATACGCGGCTGGGCCAATTAACCGTGGGCTTAATAACCGGCGACTACTGTATTTTTAGCGGCGGTTAAAAGGAATAACTAGAAGGATTCTGTTTACATCGGACATGTACCAGAAACTCACAGAATTTTTTTTTACATTTGAAATGATAACTAAGGATTTCAGTTAAGATCGTATGGATACGGTGACCATCTTGAGTACGCAATATGCGAATAAGGAAAACAATGAAAGCACCCCCATTTCTATAGTTACAGAAGGTGACACCGGGAATATGCACCTAAACATGAAGAAGATCAGATACTATTGCCAACGAAGACTGAAATGGTCAGTGCTAGCTCATTAGCCGTCGTCAGCCAGTCATACCCAGTCCCAAGTGACTGACGACGACTGACAAGCCATAAAAGACCATCCTAGTCGCTTTTGTCTTTGCCGGCAATACTACGGCTGCTGTCAGGGCTCGAGAAATGAGGCCCAAGGCAGACCGGCACAAGTGAGTTCTGTTAGCGGTCGGTGAACGTTCATCAACGAGAATGAAGAAAATCCTCTAAGTCTACTCTGAATTCGAAAATGCCACCGGCCTGACTAGCAAGTAAGAGCACACGCAAATAGGAGAAGGAAAAACAAAACTTCGGCTGCAAGCATGCAGTTATTAAGCGAAAATGATGATATTTTGCAGTCTTATGAGTCTGCCGGGGGCGGCCAGGGCAATTTACTCCCGGATGGAAATGCGGCCAGCTACAAGCGTCCTCCGTCCCTATTGTGACACTTAGCACTCTTGTAAGACCTAACTAGAAGGCAAACATAGTGGTCAGTCCATAAAATGGTCAACCGTCGAACAAGTCGAGAAGAACTCAAAGGAGAAACGCACTTGCTTTGTCCTCCGTGGAGTTTGCGCAGATAGGCATGGAAGGACATGAATTTGACTGGAGGATCACAGTGACTTAGGTAGTCAGAATCGTAGGGCTGAAATGGTGA